AAAAGAAAGTAGGCAAAAAGACAAGCCCTCAAAATCTGAATCGTCCATCCAGTGTAGGATAACAAATGAGACCTTTTCTAAGTCAGTGAAGAGACCTTTTCTAAGTCAGTGAAAAGTCAACAAAGTAGGAACACAAAATGTCAAAGAAGGAAGTTTATATAATTGGTGTTTAATAAGCAGTCATCATGACCAAGAGAGCCAAACTTTTATTAGGACAAGAAGGTACACAAAGAAGCAAGAGGAAAGGGAGGAAAGAAAGGGGATTAGAAAGAAAGAAAGAAAGAAAGAAAGAAAGAAAGAAAGAAAGAAAGAAAGAAAGAAAGAAAGAAAGAGAGAGAGAAAGAGAGAAAGAAAGAGAAAGAAAGGAGGATGGGGAAGAAGAAGAAAGAACAAAGAAGAGGAGGAGGAGGGAGAAGGAGGAGGAGAAGAATAAGAGAAGGAAGAGGAGGAGGAGGAGGAAGAAGAAGAGGAAGAAGAGAAGGAAGAGGAGGAAGAAGAGGAGGAGGAGGAGGAAGCAGCAGCAAGGGAAGTAGGAAGAAGAACTAGGCATGGTGTGGCACATAGAAAAGCTGAGGACCATCCATTCATTGTCAAGCAAGAGGAATGGTTGATTTAGATTGTTCTGGAGCTAGAAGAAGGTAAAGATCTAGACAGCAGGAGACTGGTGAGGACAATAGAATGATCTGTAAAGATCGCCCCCAAAGGCAGGGACAGAAGACCATGGATGGGGAGCATGTGGGTTTCAGCAGCAGATGTACCAGGATCCAGCCAGTTTACTGAAGACAGGAAGCAGAAGGAAGAGGCAAAATAAATAGACATAGGCATGAAAATAGACATACATTTATCATCTCTGTATTCAAATGCTTTAAGGAAATTATTCATTTTTATAGAAGAAATACAAAAAATACAGAAATGTTAATATCTACCCATCATCATTACAGAGTGTCCAAGAGGAACTATCATCTTGGCAGTTTGGGTTCGGAAAGATTCTACTGTTTTATCTCATTCACGCGCCTATCAGAAGCAAAAGCAGAATGGTCTCAACCTGGACTGCCTTTTGTTTCCAAACCTTAGATGTGAGGTTCTGACTATAAATAAGGGACATTGCACTCTACTTGAAAGTAAAACGGAAAGCATTTCGAGGGGAAAGAGAGAAGGAAGTCATGAGGAATGAGGATAGGATGAGTGCATCCTTAACGTCACTCCAACCTGTCAGCCACTAAAGGAAAGCAAGAGGACGGGGATTCGGACAGACTGAAGAGAAAGCCAAAAGCAGTCGTCACTGCCTTTCACTTGAAACTCTTGAAAATGTTCCCAAAAAGCACCCATCCGGGCCGAAATGGGGAGACTCTCTGTAGAACAGAAATGACCACAATTACATGGTGTTTAGAAAGCTCTTAAACTAGCAATGCCTTACCAGCTCAGTCTCAGTCCTTTACCTTCATCTAGCCCACGAGCCCTCTAAGTCAATCACTCCCTCATGTCTGTCAATGCTATAGCGTTGAATCTTCTCTGTGTGTGTAGGGAGGTGTGTTATATGCATGTTTGTCTGTATGTACAGGTACATGTGAGATAAAAAAGAAATAGAGAAAGACAGTGCAACAGAGAGAGAGAGAGAGAGAGAGAGAGAGAGAGAGAGAGAGAGAGAGA